AATGCCTGGATCCACAGTCGGCTCTCCTGCTCGGTACTTAGGAAATACCTGTGAACACACTCCGGGTACTTTGGGCCCTAATGGAGCCGTGAGTTGCCGATATGTGACAGTGTCAGCACCCGGCCGCTTCCCAGGGCCCCGGGCGTTTGCAAGCTCGTTTTGGAACTGGTTGATTCTCCCTGCTTGATGTTTCACTGTTCGACCAGAAGCACCACTGTTTTTATTACACTTCCAGCCATTTTTCACAGCTGTTGTGCTGTCTCCAAGTCAGCTTTGTCACTCTTTTAATTATACCCCAGGATAGCATAGGTGCTTCTACTTTCTAAAGACGATTTTAAAGATGACTCGGTTAGAATGGAGGGACGTCTTTTTCTCCAAGGTCAGGCCGCCCTCAGGGGAGGAAGGACCAATCGTGCAGGCACCAATCGGTAAGGAGAACGTAACTTAGGTCGTGTTATCTGTGAGGGAGGAAGCATGCTAATATCTGCTTTTAAAAGAGACTAATCTGATGGCAGCCCAGCCTTGTCGAGGAGAAACTCCTGAGACCGGGGCGGCAGCCAGCCGGAGGGAGGGAGAAAAGCCAGGTGCAGGAACTGGGTGCTGAGCTTATTTCTTGCTCTTTGACTCGCGTGCTCCTTTCAGCTTACCGGGAGGCCAGCCACCCTCCCCTTCCGATTTGCTGTTGTGCTCCAACACTTTTAAATGATCTCTGTCGCCTTTGGGAAGAGCTTTACTTGCAAATTTCATCGTGGAATTAAGTTGTGTTTTCCAATAGAACTAAAGGTCTGCTGTGCGTCTATTTCAGACCCTTCATTTTTTCATCTCAAAGGCATTGGCCAGCTGATTTTCTGTCTTAAAAAAGTAGACTGACAGCCATTGCCAGTTGACTTCTTTGCTTCTATTCTTGGAAAAATTAAGATTGTCCAGTCTCGCAGTAACTGAAAAATTGTGATTTTTAAAAAAATTAGTATTTATTTCATTGCTCGGAATCTTTTGTTTCTAGATCAAATTCAGGATGGGTGAAAGTGTGTGTAATTGGTTCCGATTGCAAACTGCTTTTGAGTACAACTTTAAAACTCTTCAAGGATGAGAAGGAATAATTTAAGTCTGAGGTGGTACACCCGAATTAATTTGTACATGTTATTTTTATATAAATAGGATTCAACCAGACTTCATTTCTTGTTCCCTAGTCTCAGTGCCTGGTGTTCCGTTTGTGGATCTATAAAGTTGTAATGTCCAATAATGGTACCACTAGCCACATGTGGCTATTTAAATGTAAATTTATATTAATTAAAATGAGATAAAATTAAGAATTCAGTACTTCAGTCACGCTAGCCATATTTCAAGCGCCCAACAGTCACAAATGGCAGTAATTATTATATTGGACAGTGTAAATATTGAACATTTCTATACTCGGAAATCTATTGGACAGCACTCCTTACAGACTAGGAACTGTCAATGTCTCTCCTAGGTGCCCTTTACTGGTCAAATAACATTAAACAGAAGCCAGAGATTCCCTACACGCATTTTAGAAACATATCACATGATCTCTAAACTTGGTAACTTCATGGGTTATTTCACAACTTAGCAAAGCTAATGTCCTTTGAGGCCCATGGCTACTCTAAAATGTTGCTGTCAGGGACAAGCTGTTCAAAATTCAAGTACAAGTCAATTGAAATTCAAGGGACATTTGTACATAAGGCAAATGTTATGACTCATGTGGCTGGTTTCTAGTACTTTCGGAGATAAAAATTCGTGGAAATAATAACCAGCAGAAAATCAACAATAAAATTTCAATGTTCTGCGGGGGAGGGGGGTGGCTAGAGATTGGTGGGAAGAAATGGCACCTTCTCTACATACCTAGACCCACAGAGTATGGTTTGATTATGTCGTTGATTTAATTACCCAAGGATACAAAATCTTCTTGGAAACGAGGTGGCTTTCAGGGCAAGAGCAGATATGGCATATCTCAGCCTAGCGTCCCTTGACCCCTAGAGCTCCTGTTGGCACTATCTAGATAAGGAAAGGTCTTCACGCGTCTATAAGCTCAAATCTTGCTACACTGCTGCCCTTTTGTAATCATAGTTTATATCCGCAATCTGGAAGAACTCACACAACAATGGCTGCATTTCTATTTCTGGGATTATTTACAAATATCAGACATTTGTGGGTTTCCAGCCACAGTTAGCAGGACCAAAGCAGCACACTCATCCTGAGGGAAGCGGCAGAGTTAGGGCTGGGGGGCCCATCACTAGCTCTGCCCCCAGAAAACCAATTTTCCTAATCTGTCCCCTCACTCAGATTTTATACCTTTTTATCTGAATGGTTCAAAGGCTGAGTATTGACTGAAGACCATGATCACAAATCAATTTCCCCCAGAAAATCAAACCAGGGAAAAACCGAGTTGATCTTGGAAATTGGTTCTTGAGCAATAAGGCAGGTTAAATTAGAAGAGGTAAATGAGAATTCGTGCAGTGATTTTGGAGGGACTTTTGGATACTTTTGAGACTTCTCATCACTGTTGGTGATGATTATCCTGTTAGTTCTTACTTGTTTTTCAGACTCTCAGCTTTGTTTCCCTCAACAATTGTGGATCACTACACTGCCCAGATAAACGGGATCTACATTTTTCTCACAAATTGGTGGGAGAGGGGAGAGTGAAATATTTTCCAGGGTTGGTGAGCACGAATCAGAGAAAGAAGAGACAGGATGAATGGTTATGGACATTCTGGGAGTAGGGAAGGATTGCTCTGAGCTGTGGGGCAGGTGTGATGATCATGGTACCAGTGAACATTTATGAAGAACTTCATGCACTTTTCGAAATGCTTTACATGTATTAACCCATTTAGTGAATTAATTAATGATTTTGTTAACTAGCTAACTCACTTAAATTTTGTCTTAAATTTAAGACAGGAGAAAAGTTGAATAAGGGGCATGGACTTCTCAAGACAAAGATTGTGAGAAGGATATTATCTCCCACCTCAGATAGCAGAGTTGTCAGATTCAACATTTTCAGGGCTCAGTAACCAGCTTTTTGCCTTACAGGGCACTGGTGATTCAGGAGACCTGTAAGTGGAAGATAATTGAAAGTCCATGGGCACCTGGGTGGCCCAGTTGGTTAAGCATCTGCCTTCGGCTCAGGTCATGATCTCAGGGTCCTGGGATCAAGTTCCGTGTTGAGCTCCCTGCTCTGCAGGGAGTCTGCTTCTCCCTCTCCTTTCAATCTCTCTCTCTCTCTCAAATAAAATCTTAAAAAAAAAAAGTCCTGTTTTTCTGTTACTTGTCTTTAAAAGGAGGAAGGCAGCTGAGATCAATTATGGAGGCCATCTTTGAGAATCTGAAGAGAGCTGTAGGATAATGTACATAACACCGAATTTTATATTTAATTAGAAATACTAGATCCCAGGTGTATCCATCAGGATATGCTGTAGTAACAAGGCCATAACAACAAAAATTCCTCCTTGCTCACCATAGACGTTCGTCCTGGATTAGCCTTGGAGCTGCACTCCAGGACTCAATCAGGGATCCAAGCTGATGCATCCTGCACACCATCTGGGGTATCACTGGTTGCTGGGTTATGGAAAAGGCAATATGGCAGATCACAAACTGGCTCCAGTTGAAAGTGACACACACAATTTCCATTCACATTTCATTGCCAAGCAAGACACCATGTGCCATCCTTCATTGTGCCTAGAATAAAAGATTCAACTTTCAGTGAACAGCCATTAACAACTACCACACTAGGTCAAGAAGCCCTGAATCGAGTATTATCTAAGTTACTTTGCAGTTCAAAGTTCATGTGAGTCCAGATTAATTTATAATATGCTTATTCAAAATTTAGGTAGTAAGCCTGCATGTCTAAATAGTAGACATCAAATTCCCCTCCAATCAGGTAGTCATCTTTATAGCCAGGACAAGAGTGAGCCTTCTCCTAATAGGGTATGAGCAAAAGATTTTGGACTGTTGCTTCAACTTTGAAAATTGAGGAATTGAGGAGTTCTCTCCTGATCCCTCTAGGGGCTTCCTACAAGAGAGAAGATTTGGTTCCTCATTAGCAAAGTTATCTCAGTAGCTTATACATAATGAGATTGGACCAGACAGCTGTCAATATCCCTCCCAACCCTGATTTTTTTTTTTAATTCTAAGCAGGTGCCTACTATTATTAAAAACCAGATAACCAGATTTTAGAGTGGTCAAGCAAAGTATATCTCAGGGACAGGAGATCTGGAAAAGTAGCCATGAGAGAGTCTGGGCAAGAGGGTAATAGATTCATAAGCTAGTAGAGCTCTACAGTATCATCAAATGCCCAACCTCTACTGATTTCAGCTCCTTCGTAATCTCTACCAGATTTTTTTTCTTAATTATATACTTTTGACATTTTCTCAGTGCTATGGAAAGTGCCACTCAAAGGCAGCTTTAAGATGAGTCCCCACACCAACCTCCTTCCAACTAGAGTGCCTCCCCTTTGTGCCTCTTTTGTAAAGCCTGTGCTACCACTGACCACCCTCATTTCATAGATGTCAAAACTAGAGGCCCAGAGAGGGGATGTCACTTGCTTTGCTCAAAGGCCAGTTGGAGGCAGGATCAATCACCCAATTCTTTGAGACCCATGTCAACTGCAAAAACCAAATTCTCTTTGAGAAATTTGGGACCTGGTTTTGATCCAGAAATCACCCAAGAAATGGTATTTCTGGATCATTTACTTTGAAATACTCTACTTCTTCTTTTACTTTTCATCTTCCGTGAATTTGGCCTCTATTATGGCAAAGAAAGGTTACGCTCACTCGTAAGTCTCTGCCTGCTTCAGGAGACTTATGAACTCACATCCTGATGGTGCCTTGGCTTGGCACATGCAGCCTGGTGATGTATTGAAGGTACTTGGCTAATTACCTGCACGCTTTCTGCTTTTTCTCCCAGTTAGGATTATGATAATGTCTTCTAACAGAGTTCCTAAAGAGGAAAGGCCTTCTGGACAGTGATCTCTTTGTTTCTTTCTGCAGTTCCTTATCAGCAGAATCCTTACAATCCCCGAGGCAGCTCCAATGTCATCCAGTGCTACCGGTGTGGAGACACCTGCAAAGGGGAAGTGGTCCGTGTCCACAATAACCACTTCCACATCAGATGCTTCACCTGTCAAGGTAGGAGGCCCAGACTCCCAATGCCCCTGTCAGATTGCAGGCCCTGGTTTCACCCATAGGACATGCCACAGGGGCACGCAGAAAACATACAGGCCGATACCTCTGCAGGCCTAAAGAAACTTTCCTTGAGCCTTTATGAGAACTCTCCCTTAGACAGTGTGGAGTGAAGAGGAAGGAAAGAGTTGGGACGTGGGGGAGGGAGGGAAGCTGGTGACCTCAGCGTGGTAGTGCTGACCCAGGAAGAAAAAGGCAATCCTGCAAGCTTAACCTGCACAGCTGGAGAGACTCCTGTCTTGTGCCTATAAATCAATTTGAGAGTGAATGAATGAGCAAGCTGTCCTGGCTAAAATTCAGTGTGGCTCTGAGATGAGCACCTATTCTATGACCGTGTGGCAATCCTCAAAGGTGAGGTTTAACAGGGTACATTATGACTTCACTAAGGTCTGTAATTTGGAAGCAGGTGGATGTTGGGTTACCTCTGGACTCTTAAATTACAAGTTCCTAAAGAAGCAGGATAACTAGCAGCAGGAATAAAGAAGGACTCTGCTGAAAGAGCCCGGGGAGCCCTCTGGCCCTGATAGATGCCTTTCCAGCCTCCACTTCTTGAGGCTTTCTGTTCCACAAGGCAGCCATTCTGAGGTTGGATGGCCCCGTGGGTTTAGAAAATGTTTGACCCCAAACCAGTAACTTCCACCTGTTGGTTCTAGATTTGTTCTCATGAAGTTTGCTGAATACTGCATGTGTGCTGTTCCCTGTGGCTGCCGTTCACCTACTTGTAGTCAGGTCTCCCCACGCCTGATTACACTGCAGGTCCTTACTTTGAGCCTCATCTGAAATGATTCCAACTTGTATCATCTTGGAGTCTTCCTTGATCCATTCTGGTTTGTCACTATCATTCTAAAAGGATAGTGCCCAGAACAGACCATGGTTCTCAAGGTCTGCCAAATACAGTGGGGGTACCCTTTCCGTTAATATGATTGATGTTGGATTGACCTCCTGAGGAGCCACTCCACGGAATTGACGTATATTGAATTTAAGGTCAGTTGAAACCTCAGATCTTTTCATTTTAGTAATTGCTTCCAACCTCAGTCTCATGTGTCTGAGATTGACTTACACTGCTGTTGAGAGAAATTCTGGATTTCTTCCTCAGGATCTCACTAGACACTGCACTGAGCAAATCAATTACATATTCACATTTCCTAATGTTTTTAATGGAAGCACATATGGAATATAATTTAATTGATGTGATTTAAATTCTGTATTGAGACTTGGCAAACCCCTTTAGTGTAAGCTGACCTGCGAAAGGGTCTTGGCGAGTGACCATTTTTACATCACTAGAAGCTGGGGCAGGAAAAAGGGTAAAAACAACAAAATTGTTCTAAGGAGTTTTGAGCTACGACTGTGCAATTGTATTCTTAAGAAAGTATGTTAGTTACCCTTTGCTGGGACCAAAATTTAATAGTTTAAATAATTTTTTGTTTAGCTCATGATCCTCTGGGTTGGCAGGGCAGTTCTCCCAGGCTGAGCTGGCTCTCCTTGTCTCCACTCGCCTCATCACAATGATATTGGTGGGTCACCTGGCAGTGGTTGGCAGGCTGTTGGGCTGAGTGCCTGCATATGGCTTCTCATCCTCCAGCAGCCTGGCTTGGATTCATTTGCATGATGGTCTCAGAGTTCCAAGTACAGCAAGAGAGCAAGCTTCAGAAAGCAAGACCTTTTTAAGCCTCAGCTTATGTCATACTTGCCAATGTCCCATTTGCCAAAATGAGTCAAGTGGCCGACCCAGGTTCACGATCATGGAGAAATAAACTTTGCCTTTGGTGGGAGGATTTGCAGATTTCAAGGGTGTGAATGCAGAGAAAGGAAGAATATGGCCATTTTGACAATCAACCACAGGGAGGTTGTAGAATATCTTTTCATGGAGATTTTAAGGGAAAAAAATAGATTTACTTTTCTGACTGTTTTCAATGTCAACTTGCTTAGAAGTGAAACAAATGAGAGAATTTTTGTTTCCAGCAGTAACCAGTTATAGTTACCCTAAATAGCCTCATTTGAAAAAGTTAAAATCTCTATGAATTTTTCTATAGTTCTTTTACCATTCACTACTGCACTGATCTGCAGAGGTGAAAAACAAAAATAAAAGCAGAAATCCTCGTGTGACTGCCAATGCCAGATTTAATCCTAATGGTTTATGCTAAACCTTGGCAACCTTGTGCTTTTGCCTTGATGGCTGTATAGACCATGGAGACATAGGAAGAGGCTAGAGCCCGGTCTAAGTAGGAATCTAATAGGAGACCTCTGAGTAAAGCTGAAATTTTCCCCTACGAAAATCTTACTTTCAATGTATGGATGGATGAGAAATAAACTGGTGAAGGAGACAGCAATGAAACCGTCTGTACTAACTTTGGCACTGGGTAGAGGAGAATAAAACTTGTATCAAAACGTCTACCTATAATCCACCCTTAACATGGATTCATGTTCTATATTCATGCTATGAATTGGCATAAATTTTAAAAAAGCGAAACAGAATTTAAAAGAAAGTCATCCCACACTTGGCAAATGGCAGAAACAAGTGATATTCCTCTTTGGAGGAACTCAGCTTTATTCCGGACCTCAAAGAACTCCCACGGGTAACATTATCAGCAAAATGAGTAACTTACAGTCAAAAACACACAAATCATAATGGAGGGAGAGCCACAGAAACAATGAAGAGAGAATCAGAACCTCAAAGACTTCATAAATTTGTATTTTTTTAAAAGATTTTATTTATTTATTTGACAGAGAGAGAGAGCATCAGGGAGAGTGAGAAGCAGGCTCCCCACTGAGCAGGGAGCCCAGTGTGGGGCTTGATCCCAGGACTCTGGGATCATGACCTGAGCCGAAGGCAGACGCTTAACCGACTGAGCTGCTCAGGCGCCCCATAAATTGGTATTTTTTGACATTATATGATGACTACATAGAATACATTTAAATAGGTAAGAAGAGCCATTTAAAAAGAGCAAGAAACAACACATTATAACAAATAGCACAGCAGATTTGAAAAAGAAACAAAACTTTAGAAATAAAAATATATAATGTTTGAAATTTAAAAGTCAGTGTATGGATTATATAGCAGATTAGATGTTGCTGAAGAGGGAATTAATGAACTATAGGATTTAGCCAAGAAAAAGGTATATACATGTAGTCCAGAAATATAAGAAGGTGGTAAAAATAAAAGATAAGTTTATACATGAAGAAAATAGTGGAAAGGGTTGACGTATATTCAATCAGAGTTCTAGAGATGTGTAATAGAATACCTGAGTGGGAGGACAATATTTGGAGTCATGACAGTTATGCAATGTTCTAGAACTGTTCAAAGACACAAATCCTTGGATCCAGAAACCTAATAAATCCCAGTAGAAAAATATAAAAGAAATCCACCTGTATACGTCATCAGAATGAAACTGAAGATCACCAAAGACAAACGACAATTTTAAAAACAACCAGAGAGAAGAAATAGATCATCTGCCTACAAATGGTAAGTAGACTGAGAGCTGACATGTTAGTAGCAACAAGGAAGCCAGAGACCAGTGGAATAATTCCTGTATGTACTGAAAGAGATAACTGTAAAGTTAGGATTATGTATTCAGCAAAAGTATTTTTCTAGAACAAAGGCAAACCTATAGCTAACATCATACTTAATGGTGAAAGACTGCCTGCCTGCCTATAAAGGCAAAAGTAACAAAAGGATGTTTGCTCTTACTACTTCCATTCAACACTGTACCGCAGGTTCCTATTGGGTCAGTTATGTAAGAAAATGAAATAAAAGACATCCAGATTGAGAAAGCAAAAGTAAGGTTATTTCTATATGCACATGACATGATCTTATATATAGTAAATAGTAAATCCTAAGGAATGCACTAAAAAACTCTTAGAAATAACAAGTTAATCCGAGTTTCAGGATAAAAGATGAATATACCAAAATCAATTGAATTTCTATACAGTTACAATAAACAATCTGAAAATAATATTAAGAAATGATTCCATTTACAATAATGTCAAAAATAAAATACATAGGAATAAATTTAACAAAAGTGTAAAATTTGTACTCTGAAAATTATAAAATATTAAAGAAGATCTAAATAAATGAAAAGAAATCTCGTTTCATGGATCAGAAATCTTAGTATTGTTAAGATGGCAGTATTCTTCAGACTGATCTACAGATTTGAGGCTATCTTACTCCGCTCAGGCTTCCACAATAAAATACTGTAGATTGAGTGGCTTAAACAACAGAAATTTATTTTGTCACAGTTCCAGAGGCCAAGATTAAGGTGCCAACATGGTAGGGTTCTGGTCAGAGCTCCCTTCTTGGCTTGCAGATAGCCATCTTTTTACTGTGTTCTCACATGTCTGGAGAGAGAGAGAGAGAGAGAGAGAGAGAGATGGCAAACTGGCTGGTGTCTCTTCTAAAAAGGGCACTAATCTCATAATGAGGGTCCCACCCTTACAACCCTCATCTAAACCTAAGTATCTCCTCAAGGCTCCATACCCAAATACCATCACACTGAGGGTTAGGGTGTCAAAATACAAATTTGGGGCAGGACACTATTCCATTCATAGCAAATGCAATCCCCATAAAAATCCCATCTGGTTTCCTTGAAGAAATTGATAAGCTGATTGTGAGATTAATATGGAATTGCAGGGAATATAGAATAGCCAAAGCAATCCTGAAAAAGAACAAAGCTGGAGGACTCAAACTTCCCACTTTCAAAACTTACTACAAAGCTACAATAGATAAGACAATGTGGTACTGGCACATGGATAGACATATAGATCAATAGAGTTGAGAGAGCAGAAATAAACCCTTAGGTTTATGGTCAGGTGATTGTCAACAAACCTACCAAGACAATTCTACAGGGAAGAAGAGTCTTCAACAAATGGTGCTAGGAAAACTGGACATATATATGCAAAAAAACAAAAAAAAATGAAGTTGGACTCCTTCCTCACGCCATACACAAAAATTAGGTCAAAATAAGTCAAAAACCTACATGTAAGAGCTAAAACTATAAAACTCTCAGGAGAAAATGTAAGAGTAAGTCTTTGTGACCTTGAGTTAGGCAAAGACTTCTTGGCTATGACACCAGAAGCACAAACAACAGAAGAAAAATAGATGAATTAGGTGTCATCAAAATTAAATACTTCTCTGTGCTTCAAAATATACCATCAAGAATGTAAAAAGTCAACCCACTGAATGGGAGAGGAAATTTGCAAAATATACATCTGGTAAAGAACTTGTATCTAAATTATATAGAGGATTCTTAACAACTTACTAAGAAAAAGACAATCCCATTTCAAAATGGGCAAAGGATCTGAATAGAGGTTTCTCCAAAGAAGTTCTATAAATGTCCAGTAAACACATGGAAAAAAATGCTCAAAATCATTAGCCATCTAAGAATGAACATCAAACCACATGGAGGCACATGTCACGCCATGAAATCGGCCATATTCAAAAAGACAGAGAATACAAACGTTGGCAAGAATGTGGAGAAACTGGAACCCTCCTCCATTGCTGGTGGGAATGCAAAGTGCATAACTCCTGTGGAAAGCAGTCTTGCAGTTCCTCTAGGAGTTCAATGTAGAGTTACCATATGACTTAACAATTTCAAAGTCATAAGATGTATGCTTAAGAGAAACAAAAACATATGTCCATGCAAAAACTTGTGCATGAATGTTTATAGTAGGATTATTCATCAAGTCAAAAATTGGAAACAATTCAAATATCCATCAACCAATGAATGGATAAATAAAATGTGGTG